GAGGATACTTGAATAGATAGTTTGGAAGGCTTACTATCTACTTGGTCCGTTGAAGACTGGGATGTTGCTGAAATACATGTTAGGATTTCATTAGTTCGAATTGATTTCATGGGTTCTATAAAGGAGAAGCTTGTGGTGGTAGTTTCAACTAATCTGAAATGCTTATAAAGCAGCAAATAGCCAAAAATAAGACTTTGTGTGCCTCTGTAACATTCATGAATCCGTCCCTCTAAAAATTAATTATTCAATAGACAATAAATTAGTTTAATTATAAGTGACCTCGTATAAATTAACATGTCGAATCGAAAAATTTCGTGTACCTAGTATACTTATTACCTAAGCAAAATTTGCATATCCATAGTGATCTAGAGAAAGAATGTGTAAACATTTTTCTGGAGTCTAGTGGATAAATAAACCCACAGATGTCCAAAAAATATTTTACTGATGTTTTGGAAATCCTGGTGACCTTTTTAAGAGTACAACGTAAAAACATAAACTTATCAGTGTTACATTAGTTTTGACTTTAGTAATTCTGCTGGTATGCCCCCACCGGATGTGAATTTTCAGTAGGTAATGCACAAATCAATTAAACTATTCTCTTCAACTTAATCTAGAACAGCGAGCATTCCATACTAAAGTTATGAACTTAGTGAAACGTCGCTCATTTGAATAAAGTCATTATTTGATGTTGCAAGAAAGATAATCACACACTTGATGATGATTATGTTAATCATTAGTAGGTTAAAATAATAACGTTCTAGTAGAATGCAGATTACGTTCTATGATGCTCACTCACCCAAAATAGATACTATTGCAGCACAAGAAAGAATGGACTTCACACTCATTGCATATATTTGCTATTAAGCCGAAGTATCCGATGTGTGCTAATAAAACTAGCACAATTATCAATCAGCCAATATTATATAGACGCTCATAAGAGATGCGTAACATATTTTAGAATACAGTCCGTGCCAAAATGAAAGACTTCCGTGTGAAACAGCACATCAACGTTGGATTTTGTACGAGTGTCTGTGGGTATTCTGCTGTCCAAAAAATATTGATGTGGAAAACATGGAATTTCAACAAAATGGTGCCACATGCCATACATCCCCTGAAACAATTCAATTGTACAATAACGTACACAGTCTATTATGTACGGATTAGCTGATCAATCAAATGACCTCTTTATCTTTGCTGGGATATGCGCACTCTTTTACCGATCATCATTTTGCTTAAATGTGGCTGAAGTTCGTCAATCAACGAGAACCTGTGGGCTTCATTCTATCTCAATATTGATATAGTGTACATATGGTTTAAGAAAACGGTGCCGCGTTCATGGATCCAGTAAAACAATTCTATAACTGCATGAGACATTTGCTGGATATATACCCTTGCTTCGGTGATCAGAATTAACCCCTGAGACTCGCCTGTATGTTTCTGTATGTCTAAATTCGATAAACTTTATGTGGATAACATGTGATTTCAATAAGACGGTTGCTCATGCCATACAGCCTGTCGAAAATTCAATTGCTACATGAGACATTTCTTGATCGTCTACATTCTGGTTTCGGTGATTGGAGTTGGCCCCCTAGACCAGTGGTCGCCAACCTTTTCAGTGTGTTGAGCTACTTTGATAATTTTGAAATAAACAATAAGGTACCTAGTAGTAAGCAATGCAAGCCAACTTAAATGCAGTGCAATCATTTTGAAATTTTTATCATTTACTTATTATGCTTCATTAAGTACTTATGTCCACATAATGCTTGCTGATGGATAATGCAGTGGTAACAGAGAAATTGCGGAAAACTTTCATCTTTACGACGTAACCTCACGAGACCATTATCACGACCCACCAAAGCTGGAGAGCCATCAGTTGTCAAGCCTACCATTTTCGATATTGGAATTTTCTCAAAAGAAATAATATTATTAAAAGAAGAAAACAAGTCCTGCCCAGTAGTCTTAGTGGAATAAACTTCAAAAGACCTTCTTTAGTCGTAAAATTACTAAAAACGATCCTGACGAACACGGCAATCCAAGAGGTATCAACGACATCTGAAGATTCATACAACTGCAGTGAAAAATAAGCACAGTTATCGAAGTCATCTATTAACTGTGAAACTATATCATTGCTCATTACTTCTACTCGTCTCACCACTTTATTTTATAGCATTAACTGTCTCGTCTTTATTCCTAAAGTTGGCAAATAATAAATCTGCAGATTTTAAAAACGCCTGTTTTATCATTTTCCCGTCTTCATAAGGTTTCTTCTTTTGTGTAATTATCTGGGACACCCGGTATGATGCTTCAGTTGCAGTCTTACTTTTGTCGATTGTTTTTAAAAACATTGTCTGTTGTCCAATTAATTGATTTTTTGATCGTTTCAGTTTTTCCGTTCTGGTTGCAGAACATAATGGGAATAATTTCTCAAAATTCGAATGTACAGTTTTATAGTGTCTCTCGATATTCCCTCTTTTAGCAACGGAAACAGATGTATTAACAAACAAAGTCCTGTAATGAAATATTGTTCTTCCCATTCCGAATGGAAATGGTATGTGTTCATCTTCTTACTATTGCTCATAATGTGTTTAATTGCAGCCCAACTCTAACCCAACCCCTGGACTTTGTGCTGGTCACTTTTAAACTGAGCGCATTGTCGCCGCCCCGTGCGTATTTATTCCGTTTAAAGTAATCGAGATCATTCTCGAACAGATCGCTCACAGCAATTTTGCTGCTACTTGTGCTTATTATGAGAATTTACAAAATTTACGGAAACTTCTATGATTTTTACACCTTTTTAAGATATGTTGCGAGCCACCAGAACTGCCTTTGCGACCTGTCGGTAGCTCGCGATCAACGAGTTGGCGACCACTGCGTTAGACCAAGCGATTCGACACCATTGGATTCCTGTTTGTGAGGTTATTTGAAGTCAAAAATCTGCGGCAACAAGCCCACAGATTCATGCGCATTGAAAGAAGGCATTCAACATTGTCTCGCCGACATTTAGTCATTATTTATACAAAATAGTTGAGAAAAATTATCAGAAAAGGGTCTGATTGGGTAATTTACCTTTGGCACAGGTTAACAGCTGTTGGTTTCAACACGACGGTGCTCCCGCACATAACTCTAGGTAAATTTGAGAGCGATTTCCCAAAATGTGGATTGGACCTTCCAGTGAAGTGTCCTGGCCGGTGCGTTCCCCGTATTTAACTCATCTGGACTTTCTTGTTTTGGGTTTTATCAAAAACCAAGTTTATTAGCATACTATTGAAGCTGAGCAGTAGTTACGAGAAGGTGTAATGGAAGCATTTAGTATGATTAGAAATATCATATTTATGTTCAGAAAATAATGGCAACCTATTTGAACATTTATGTGAATAAAATAAAAATAATGTGGAAAATGTATTCGTTATTCTGAATATCACTGGATTAAATTTCATTTTATAAAATTTGTCATATAATTATGTAATATGTAATATGCATCTATCAGTAATCGCATAATCTTACATCAAGCACTTGTTTGCAATGCCTACTTGAAATAAAAAAAACTCATTTTTCTTTATAACTAAGACAACAAATTTAATATGTATTTACATCATTTGTAAAAAGTGCAAATCAAAAAGTTCCAATAGTTTTTTGTACAACAATTGTAGCTGGAACACCCTGTACGTTGATAATGTCTCATATTACCACTAATTTTATCGGTGTTTTCCGTGTCACCTTTGTTTTTTTCCCATAAGAATATTGACAATGAGCCGTATTCATAAAACAAAGGATATCCTTGTACTTTCAAATTTTGAAGGAAATCCTCCAGATGATTTATAATAATTTGAAGTAAATGCTTTTGCTTTTTGAGACAAGCATATCCTTCAGAGTAGTGACATAAGTAAAAGGATATTCATAATCTTCCTTGGCATAGAAAGCATATCCTTCAAAAATTCTGAGTGTGGTCAGTAGCAGACTCAACTTCTTAACGAAAGCTGGTCAAACGATGATGGCGGAATTGTGATGGGATGTTAAAACGTACAAACCTCGTTTACTTTCACTTGGTCGTGACTTAAAAAATTATATCGGTTCGACGAAGCAAATGTACAATAGCTTGCGGACAGATTTTTAGTTGAGAATGAGGAACCTCGAGGAGGAGCACTTTCATGTATTCATAAAATGAAGATACGTCTACGCTATCTCGGTGACCCTGGATATCAACAAGGTATTGATCAGGTACTTGATGTTAGTCAAGCAACGGTATCTCGGACTGTGGATAGAGTTGTGAACAGCATAGTTGCACAGTCGAACGAATGGATCAAGTTTCCAATTACCAACCATGAACTACTGGAGGCAAAGCATGTATAAATTTCCGACAGCAATTGGTGTAATTGATTGTACCCATATAGAGATCCTGAAACCAAATCGCCGTGGAGATGAGTATATCAACCGAAAAGGGAAACCTGTACTTGTACTCCATAATGTTGTGAAGAGCTTGGGCGATCCTGACTTTGAGATAGTTGAACAAGACCCAGATGAAGATGAAGGAAATCATGAGAATGACGAACCTCCTCTCCGCCAACTAGGTCAACAAATAAGTAGAAACTTGAGTATTATAATAAATAGTTTAACTGATGAAAGTGTATTTATAAGATATAATAAGTTTTATTTTCGTGAACATCATAAGTTACAGGTGGCTTCTGACGCTGTATCATTTCTAATTTCGTTTTATAATACTCTTGTTGTAAAATATTTGTTTGGTACTGCTGTAATAGCACTAGACGTTGCAGTTCTTTTGAAGTTAACCCTTTGGTTTCCTCATTTTCGTATTTCTCTGTTGCTAATTTTCTTTTTGGTGGCAATTTCTTCTGAATTGCTGGCGCTGTAATACTAACTGTTTACTCAGTGAATTCTTCTTGAACACTACCAATTTTACATTTTTCATTTTGATTTTTGGAACTTGTGACTTTGCAAAATAATGGGAGCAATGGCAATTTCATCTGCGATGAACTGCAGGTCGTTGCCATTATTTTCTATAGTTTCGTCACTTGAGGATGACATGCTTATTAATTTGAAAAAAAAACTGTATCCAGTAAAAATATGGAACGGTCTGTGTAAGCTCTGGAGTACAACTGTCAGTGATGCTGTGTGAACGAACTCCCACGTCAACTACAAGCTGGAACAAGGTAAGACATGTCGTTCAAGATACAAATACCAGTCAACCTTTTACTTCTTCTTGGAGGATATCCTCGCGAGTATAAGGTAATCATTATGAATATATACTAAGTGACATATAAATCCGAACACCCAGTTTTAATGGTTTTATTTTAATAAAATTTTGTATAAGTACTTAATGAAGCATAATAAGTAAATGATAATTTCATAATGATTGCACTGCTTTAAAGCCCTTTGACCTTTAATAATGTGTGGATGCACCCTGATGTGCTACGCATTCTCCAACGCGCCTAGGCATGCTTCTGATCAGGTGGTCAATGTCCTCCTGTGGTATCTCATTCCAGGAAACCACCAACTCCTCTCGAAGTGCTTCTAGAGTCTGAGGAGGACGTTGCAAATTGAGCAATCTCCTACCCATCATATCCCACACGTGCTCAATTGGGGATAAATTGGGAGATCTTGGTGGCCATGGTAACAATGTGACATCATTATGTTGAAAGAAGTCTATTGTGACTCTTGCAACATGTGGTCGGGCATTATCTTGTTGGAAAGTTGGATCTGCCAGGGTGTCAAGATAGGGTAAAAGATGGGGTTCTAGAACTTCGTGGATATAACGCTACGCGTTCATGTTACCTCTGATGAAGATTAAAGGTGACCTGGAACCATAAGCTATAGCACCCCACACCATAACTCCAACAGTGTGATGAACATGTCTTTCAACAAAAAACTGTGGATTCCTCCTTTCACCACGTCGCCTTCTAACCCTGGCACGACCATCGTGCATGCTTAAACAAAATCGAGACTCGTCACTAAAGACAATACTGTTCCATTCCTGATCCCAGAGTGACCGTTGTCTGCACCACTCAAGGCGATTACGTCGGTGTTCTCGAGTTAAAGGGAGGACCCAGTGTGGCCGGTATGAAAATAAGCCAAAACTTCTCATTCGTCGGTAAACACTTCGCATGCCAATAGGTCTTCCGTGTTCTGGAAACCATTCATTTGCAATGGACCTGGTAGTGGAGAAACGGTCCCTTAAGGCCAATAATCTTAGGCGGCGATCTTCACGGACTGTTGTTCTACGGCGGCGTCCAGTGCCTCTTGCTCTTTGCGTACGGCCTTCTCGAAGCCATGCCTGACAACACCTAACCACAGTGTCTACACTTCTTTGCACTCTAACTGCAATTGCCCGAAAAGAAAGTCCAGCTTCCCGAAGTCCCACTATACGGCCCCTATCAAACTCACTAAGTTGACGAAATCGTACAGGTCTCCGTACTCTAGGCATCGTAACCGATCGTAAAGGATGTCAAGAACCAAAATCCGCCAACGTTGATTCTTTACTGCGGCTGAAATATTCATTTTTAGAGCGTTAGTGAATAAAAAAAAAGCAGTATAAAAACCGGAATGTCCAACTGATAAGGCTGAACATTTTTTCACTGGTTATTTACAGTAAGATAAATACATTCACCAACTTTTATTAAAATAAAACCATTTAAACTGGGTGTTTGGATTTATATGTCACTTAGTATATATGTTACCGCTAATATTCAAAATCCGCTAATATGCATAATAATTAGACATAATAGGAATTATGCGTAAATACTAAAACTGTCGGTTAGTATGCAAAATAACGGCGCGTATCAGGAACTATCGAGAACTACTAAAATCGTCAGTAATTATGCAAAGTATCGCCATATTTTTAGTAAATATTGATAATAACTGACCCAGCAATAGGAATTATGCATAATATCTACTGTGTATATTAGTGATTATACATGTAACCTCACAAAATACGACTGGTTGTGCCTTGAAGCGTGCGTTGAAGTTTGATGTTATGTTTTGATTGTTTTGTTGTTGGAGTTTCTCATCGCAATGACTGCACTACCTACTGATAACACTAAATTTAAATTTGTCGATGAAGTTAAGAAGTTGAAGGGAAGAACAAACTCACGATTGAACATTTTATTCAAGGAAGAATATGACGTGCTTTTATCCGAGGTAAGAATGATTTTAAACTAATATAGTGCCTATACTTTAACGTTTAATTCCTGATGTTTTTTCTAGGTTAGGGATGCTTCATCAAATAATGGTCCCAAAACTCCATTACAGTATCGTAGACTTGAAAGATTTGGAAATATTGAAAAGCTTGTAACTCGAAATAAAGAGCAAAAGGGAAAGGAAAATAATGAAGATTCTCATAATATAGTGATTGACATACGAGATGTTCGCTATGTTGCTCCCGTTGAAGAAATGTTTGATATTTTAACCATTTTTCACAGAAGTATAGGTCACGGAGGAAGAGATCGAATGAAGACCGAAATGTCCAAACAGTATTCGAATATTACACAAGGTTATCAACGATGCAATTGCACAAAATTCTGCCAAAACAATACCTGCCGCGGTAAAAAAAAAAATCGATTATGCAATAGTAAGTGCCATCAAAGCTCTTCTTGTTCCAATAAATAAATATAAATATAATAATATAAATAATTTTTATGTAGTCGTTTGAAATGTTACGGTTATGTTTTTTTTTCGTTCTGATCCCTGAATATGTTTGATTTTCATCTATGCATACCATATAGTTTTGTAGAATTACATATATATATATATATTAAATGTTATGTAATAGTATACTTACTCGTAATATATTTCTATTTTGTCATTAACTACATAGCATTTCAAATTTGACGTTACTTAGTTAATGACGTTACGTGATATTATGCTTAATCACTAACATAAGATATTGGTAGCTTCAGTATGTACGCATAATTTCTAATTTGGACAGTGAATATGCATCATAACTGATTATTTTAGTACTTATTAATAATTCCTGATACGCGCCGTTATTTTGCATACTAACGGACGGTTTTAGTATTTACGCATAATTCCTATTATGTGTAGTTTTTATGCATATTAGCGGATTTTGGATATTAGCGGTAACATATATATGAATATAAAAACAAGGATATGCTTTTACTTCTACCTTTTTCTCCGAAGCAAGACCTTATACTTTTACCTTATGCTTCCGAGGATATGCTTCTCTGTTATGAATACGGCTCATTGTTTTCAGGAGAGGACAATAAACAAGATTTATTCAGATTCCGAATTTTTTCCCGCCTAGTGACAGGAGAAAGAATTTAATTAAAGCTTCCCTCGTTGATGCGCCTGAAGTAAGAGTGCTCTGCGTAACAAAAAATAAGATCAGATCTGTTACCGGACGACTATTATGTAAGATTGCAGGTAATAAAATTTTACAATTTGTTACCTAATGACAGAAAAATACTTCCAGTCTGAATAACTCCCTGTCGTGCGTCAGCTGAAGTTATCCAAACGCCGGCGTGCGTGCAAAGGTAGAGCCGTGACATTATATATTTAACGCTCCTCCATAAATATGGAGTTTACAGGAACATGTGAGTATTAGAGTTAAAACTCTACATGCAGGAACGGCTTCTGGGCTTTGAGCCATAGACAAAAAATATAATTGAAACGTTTTTCGGTGTTTCAGAGAGACCCAGCTTATCTTCATAAATTTTTAGAGCGGTCGAAAAATTTATAAGCTTCTGATCCCAGTAATACTACGCATATAATAGATATACATATTTTCTTTGCATTTTCATCGAAACATAAATATGATTTATTTGCGATAGTTTGTAAAGTACAAGTTTACAATATAATGTGGTTAAGTGAACATTCCTGTCTTTTTTGGATCATAAAGGACCCGTAGTCGAATTATTATACGGGTTACGTGAGAGTACTACTCGACTTTGCTGGCAAATGCCCACTGTTTTGTAGAAATGTCTCATGGTCATTTTGCATAAATATGACTAAATTTCGTTGAGGCAACATTCGATTTTCTAATTGTCGTACCTACAAGGCATCCTAGATTTTCATAGTTTTCTAATATTTCGTTCTAGTGTTCTATTTTGAGCTTATGTCACAAATATCTATTTGCATCAAATTGTTCATGCTTTTGACAAATATCATGTTTCATCAGCCTGAAATTTCCTACAATTCAATAAGAAAACATAACTTTGCAATAGGAGAACGGTGACGGTGACACGGAACAGTAGTAATTTAAAAACACCCCAGACTTTCTCGAGAGAAAATACTATGAAAATCAAGGAGGCCATAAATTCGTCCTACAATTGTAGGAATGTGGCTTGTCCTCTTCCTTGCATATGGAGCAGTTAGGATTTCTTTTCTAAGTATTCAGACACTGTTATTACTTCATGGAATTGCACATTAAGCACAGAGCTTTATCAGTATTGCTAAAATAACTGCGCTCATCTTTGGGAATTTTTCATAACTATTTGGTATAAATGTTGTCGTCAAGGCAATGTTAAACTTCTTCCTTCAATGCACGAAGTGTCAGTGGACTTGTTGCCGTAGACCTTTGACTTGAAATAACCCCATAAAATGGAATCCAATAGTGATGAATCACATAGTCTCGGAGGCCAATTTTGATCACCGAAATAATAACACACTTAGCATTGAAGTTATGTAATGTCAGTGTATTTTCACAGCACTTTTCTTTCTCTCACGATTGTCTACAGAGTTTTTAATGATCCTTCGGTGCGATATCTTTCTTCTGAACAAGCAGTCATTCTGCTCCACATCCCGTTGTTTAATGTATCGAGACATCGTCATTTTTTTATTGTTTTAAATTCTGTTATTGTTGATAGAATTAATCTCATTTCATTTGGTTCGGAACTGGTACTCCTATTCCTTTCTCTCTCATTGATTTCATAATGAAGAACTTCGGAAAAATAAGCAATTCGAAATGCACTGGCGTTGCATAGCTTCTGAAAGAACATCTACTATTTTCAGGCAGGGCAGACAACTGCATGATAAAATGACAAATTCACTAACTTTCTGAGCAGTTGCCAAGCTTAAAGTAAAGTGAATAGCTCAACATAAAAATTTAAGTTTTCCTAAAATTAAATGTCTCTTTTTTCATGCCCAGGAAAGATTCCCTCACCGGGACGCCAGGACGATGTCGCTAGCATCCGCAACCAGAATGTATTGAAGCCTATGGAGGTTCTCTCATCTGGCGACCGTCTTGGCATCATCGCCAATTTCAAGGGGTAGCTATACCATCACCAAATTATGTGGTATCTGGCG